GCTGAGTAATTCTGAGCATGTGATTTATTTCTTCTCGGCTCTGCAAGAGACATATTTGTGGAGAAGATAATATCCCTGGCTGGAAGTGGCCTCTGTGACGTCAATCCCAATGTGTTTTGTTGTGCCCTGGAGAAGCGTCCCATTTGCACAACACTGTTTGGCTTTTTCAACATTTGGTACAGAGATGCAGCACCGGATCCTGTGGCACTCTACATAATAGAATAAAGCAAGTTTAAAATACGCTCAGCGGAAAGCTTGTAGTTGAATGCATTCTGCAAAACATGTTTGAAGAAGCACATAAAAACACATAAATCTGCTCCTTAGGCTGAGCTCTGCTTGGAATTGTTTTATATGCATTTTATACATTTCCAAAAGAATATAGGAATGCATCCTTTAGATCTCGTATGAATTCCTTCAGAAGATGTTAAATACATTTTTCAGTTCATATATTGTGATTACCTGTGATGTGCGTTTTATACTGAGTTGTAACAAAATCTGAAATCAGGCTTGCAGTGGGGTCACCTCATCTGTAAGCTAATGAAAGATGAAGGCATTTAGTTAAGTTAAATGGGGGGGTTGGCTAGTAGAGAAGTTCCGAGGACTAGCAGGTTAGTGACCTTAAAGTAGTCAAAGTCTTTCTTTTTTGGCACATATCTATTGCTAGCAAGCAATAGGTATATGCCTCCCCTTTTTTAATCTCTTTTTCTGCAGCCTCAGCACTCCATAAATGCAAAGCACTCAGTACAGACTCTGTACTACAGAGGCTTTCCATTAATAACTGGCAATAGTAAAACATTTACTATCATCCAGTTATGAATGGGTAGAAGCCTATATGTAGATGTAAAGCACTTCCTGTTCAGTTATAACTGGAGACACCTAGTACTACGTGATCACTTCAGTTTGTGTCTTGCACACAGAGGATCGGTAATTATCCATCCAATCCACTCAGCCACGCATGATGACAGAGCTGCCGGCAATCCTGGATTTGACAGCCGGTGGCTCTGATCTCCTGACATGCAGTGCTCCCTCCGCCCCCCGCCAGCCATTTCTTCTCGGATCCCCACTGCCTCAACCCATACAGGCGGGGGAGAGCAGCGGGGATCCGAGGAAAGATAAATCCCTGCCTGGAGCGGCGACCATGAGCTTAGAGCAAAACAGTAAAAGCCACCGACATAAGGTTTACTGAACTGGCCAGGCGGAAGCAGTTGTGTTTCGCCGTAAGCCTTTACGATGGTGGCAGCGGAAGGGTTAATGCAATGTTCAATAGAGGGGTGCATCCTATAGTTTAGTACAAAAAATATGCTTTAGGCTCTTTTTCTCAAATATTTTCCATTATCTCCTTTGTTGTAAACAAAACTGCTGTGCAGAACACAGTAGCTCAAGCTGAAATGTACACACAGGTTAATGAGTCAGAGCAGTGACTTACCCCCCTTCCCTCTGAACAACAAGTTTTACAAAATAATAAAATTGACCCCCAATCATTATTTTAAAACGTACTGTTTAATTTAAATATTACTGTTAGAAGCTTGTGTATCGGTTCTTACTTGGGGATGTCTTGTAAAATATCTTACAGCTGTTACATTAGAACAGTATTACTGTCTTTTGTTGTTGGCTCCTCTTGGGATTTCAAAATAATGAGGCCTTGTCCTTTTTAAGAAGGTATATTTCTGGACCCAGATGGAGGTATAAAACAGAATCTTATCTATATCTCCATGGACTGCTCTCCCATGGTGTTTACCTTTTTCATGCAACTACCAGCAAGCCAATTATTTTATGTACCCCAGTTTTCCTCCTATCCCAAAATATTTTGTTTAGGTTATAGTTTCAACCGTTGTAGCACAGATATTTCCTCTGGCAGTGGTTCACACAGCCTGATCTGTGGTATGTGGTATAGAGCACCTTTGATCAGTCTTGTTCAGATCTACACAAACAGACACATCTGTGTTGTGTGCTCTGTTGCTTGCTGTTTTTGCTGAACCGGAGTGTGACCTCGGTTAGGGGTTAAGCCTTGGTTAATGCCATGTGAATCCTTGCAAAACAGCAATTAGAGAGCTGACTTAAGAGGGTTCATAGCATATGCATAATCAATCATAATGTATATAAAATACAGAATAATGTACCGAGACTGGCACACTATTCAGATGTGCTATATTATAATAATAATGAAATATTACGATGATCCAATTTATATATTTTCTGGAGGTACAGCGAATCTGTCCAGACCATTTTAGAATATCTTTGTAGAATAAGCAATAATTTCTCTCTTCTCACACTTACTTTACTATATGACCTTCCAAAGGCATGGAGCTATACATAAGACAACTGCTTTGTATTTCCTTACGTTGCAGGAGAAAGAAACCATTCTTTTAATGAGCTGTAAGTGTACCAACAATTTTGTCCTTATCTGTAGACCTCTTCAGTGCACAGCTGGCTCTGCCGCTAGTTTTGCATCACAGGAGGACATAGTACATAGTATATGTCCTCCTGTGATCCCGAAGAGAACTATGGCCAAAAAAGGTTGGGCTATAGTTTTCTTTTAACCGGATTTTAAAGAAGAATTTATGATACCTTGACAATTTATATATTTTTTTTCCAGTGAAGGTTTTTAATGCATGTACTGGGGCTATCTGCATTACTGCACACATGTTAGCTTGGGTTTTGGTAAGACAGGCCATTCATTTTAAATGGGCTGTCAACACACCACAATGCAGGCTTTAACTGACTTTTTCTAGCTTTGAAGAACTCCAGAAAAAAAATGATTAATCCTTCCAGTGGGGCTACCCCAGCACTGCAAGTGTTAAGTGCTCATTTGTGTGTAGTTCTACGTACCAGACCATCCAAGCTGGCTTATTCTTAGACCACTGTCTCGGATAGACTGTGTATATATGTGAGGATGCCCAAGGAGCAACTGACCTGCAACTGCAGCACACCACAATGCACAGATGATATACATTTTTGTGTTGTGGTATGCTTAAACACAAGCCCATTGCCATTCAAAATGAATGAGCACCCGCTGCATTGTGACACGTCACAAAGCTGCGGTAAGACACACATTGCCGTAACGCAGAAATTTAAATCTTGCCTAAAACATGAATATACAGATTGCTTGAATCTGTATAACAGTATTTACCATGGCAAATATGGCTCAAGTGTCATTGTAACCCTTTCCTGTCACTGCTGACTTGAAAGTGCTTTGTCCTTGCTACTAACAATGAGCAGAAGCAAATTAGATGAGGTGGACCATAGGTCATGTCAGCCTGGGATCAAGGTTATTTTTCACTTATTTTGTTTGCATAGATAATAAGATAGCTTGCATTGTGTTCATGTTAAGTTGTTGAAGCTGGCTCTGCATATTGTGGTGTGGCAGCAGTCTCTATTAGTCTAATGTAACTTGGCAGAAGTCTCTTGTAACATGGCAACAGTCTATTACCAGTTTCTTGCAGATGACGGACTAGTCTTTTTCATAAATCTTTGTACTGCATGCCAACATCAACAAATAATATGTTATCAAGCAGGAGCTGACGTCCAGACTCTTAACTGAAAGGAGAATGATAAAGAGAAAATAAGCTTTGATATTTCTCCCTTCTTCTTTTGCCCTCCTGTGTAAATTTGTCAGGAAAACAAGAGCAAGCAGAGATCTGTCATGGTTCACCTAGTGGGTAATTTGTCACTGCATCTTCTTCTAGCAGGTTTATGGTGCTTGTAATAATCATTTTTAAGTGCTGTTTAACATTATAAATAATGTTGGAACCTGGGGTTCATTTTTTATGCTTCCAGCTTAGATTCTATTACACAGGTAATGCTGGTTGATTACATTATTTTCATTGTGTGTGTGATCTGTTTCAGAAAGTATTTTTTCTGAGCATTATGGTGGCTTTTTAGCAACTTTACAAGTCTGCATGAATAAATGCCTGACATGTCACAATATTCAGCAATGGGATCCTTAAAAAAATAACCCTGGCCTTTAATCATTACAAAAGTAGTGCTTGAGCCTGGGCTGAAATTATGTCATTAGTATGCTGCAGGCAGGATGAAGAATTTTTCTCAGTCTCTTTTCACCAGGGATTAGATATTAACATTATAACTTTATAGTAGGTCACAAGGTGAGAGGCTGCAGCAGAGGGCAGGTCTCCATCTGACATTTGTGAACACATCTAAGGACTGTTATTGGGTGAGGTAGCACTGGACCTTGTTGGTGGCAGGTGGTCTACCTATGGAGTGGGATAGGTTGCTTCAGAGAGAGAGAGTAGGTTAGAACCCCTCAGGTTTTTACTACCAGCCAGAGCTCAGTTAGGCCTGGTTCACACCTGGGCGTTTTACAGCTCGTTCCTACGCGCTGTAAAACGCTCAGCATGTGAAAACCAATAATTGCCTATGGGCATGGTTCCCTCCTCGGCGTATTTCAGCGTGTAGGAACGCGCTGAAAAACGCCCTAAGCCCAAAGAAGTACAGGAGCTTCTTTGGGGGCGTATTTTCCGCGCATATCCATTAGGATACAGCCGGATTGCCCTCGTAAACACGCGTTTGTCGCGTGTTTCTTTTACCTCCAAAACGCGCGGCAAACGTGCATATTCTGTACGCCCAGGTGTGAATCCAGCCTTAGAGACATTTCCCCTAAGTTACTGTCCCTATTTTGCAATAGAGACACAATTAAAAACTGGTTTGAAGCTTCCACTGCTCTACTAAAAACAGCATTTTTATCTCTGTCTGTGTTGCTGTTTGAGATTGGCCCTCGCTTCTTGTCTGGTAAAACTATTGTCACAACAAGGAAGCCTCTCTAATGTAGTTCCAGATCCTTGTGAAAACAGAGGTTCCAATCCTTTCTCATTCTATCCAGAACTAGAAATGAAAACTTTCAGCTGGACATGCACTTTAAACTTGCCAACGTTTACCCAAGCATTTGTTTTTGTGCGTGCCATAACTCTTAAAAACAGTATGGACATAGAATCGTCAATATTAACAAGTGATTTTAATTTTTTTCTCCATTACATTTCTTGTAGGTTGATATTGGCAAGTGTCTCTATTTGGTTGATCTGGATACAGTCACTGTAACTGCACGAGAACCACGCTATTCTGCAAAAGACGAGTGGGTGGTCGTAGCTTACAAGCCTTTCCTGGATGCCTCGAGGTAAGGGACTTGTGTCTGATCTCATGTTTGTGAGTTTCTGGATACTGTGGAGAAGGGTTTAAACATCTGTCAGATTTAAGTGGTGAATCTGTCCCTGTTGAAGAGATTTATCTTGTCGGGTTTTAAATGCTGTCTCTGTCTTTCTATAGGACTATAGGAGATTATTCTTCCTGTTCTTCTGCATCTCCAGTTCAGGTGATGCCTGTCACCTGGACAGGAAGTGAGGGAAAATCTCCATCGTGGGAACACACAGCAATAAAGAGGTTCTAAGCCTATGATAACAAATATGTATTTTTTATTGCTGTTTGGTTCCCTTTACTTCTTGTTTTGTCTGACACTCAATAAATAGCCAGTCGGTAAACAGAAATCTACCAAGTCGGGACACAGACAGCAATATAAAATCGGCAGAGTTTCTAACCCTTCCACTCTATCCAGGACTTTAAAAATGTTTTAATAAATGTTTAAAGTTCAGTGTTGGGCAGAGCCCTTCTTTTAGGTAAGTAGTACCTATTTGGGTTGTTAGTGGAATCTTAAGTACCTAAAGAGATGCACCTAACTTGAGAAACTACAGCACGTGTTTAAACTGAGCTTGGCGCTTCAGTGATACTTAAAGGTGAACTATGAGGTGAGGGAAAATCACACATCCTCATAGTACGAGCCGACGTGTGACAATAAAACTATCACACATCGACTTAATAGATCGGGAAGTGAGCGAACACATACCGTCGCTCGCTTACTTCTCGATCATCTCCCTGCAGAGAGCGGTGACAGTCAGTCACGGCTCCCTGCAGGGATTCCCCCCCTCCCCACTCCGATCCTCCAGAGCTGACTGGAGAAACGGACGGGGAGAGGGCGGGCACAGCTGGCTCTGCCTCTAGATAGGCAGAGCCAGCTGTCATTCGCGCAGCTGGGTGGATCTCGACAGTATTGTCGGGATCCGTCCCGGCTGCGGAAGTCTCAGTATACTGCAAGCTGTAGTTTGCGATATACTGACCTTTGGGTTACGGGAAGACGCTAGTATATGTCCTCCGGTGACCCTGAGGAGAACTATGGGAAAAAAACACCCCATAGTTCTCTTTTAAACTATTACTAACCACAGGGCAGCCTAATTGTATAATGATCATTGCTAGTCACAAGTATTGATATACGATATTGTAAATCTACTGTGGGTTATTCCTTCTTTTATTGTGGAGTTTATAACTTCTTATAGGGAATTTAACAAAAATCTGCAATATTAAGATTAGGGTTTTCTGCTAAAAAGGTCACTTCGTATATAATATACATATGCTGTATGTGTATTATGTTAATGAATATTGCAGATTTTAAAAGAATGAAAACAACTATTGAAATGTCATATTAGTATATTAAAACTTGTATGGGATTTTTTGATTGTGTTTATGTCTACTTTAATGGTGTCATCCAGCTGAGGTGTTATCTAGCACTCAGCTGAGTTTATCCAGGTAGTCCTAAGGTGGCCATACACTTTACAACCTTCGCAAGACTTTTGTCTTGCGAGGGTTGTAAAGTAATTTTCAAAAAACGTATGATCTGCCCATCTTGGACAGGCACATCGTACTTGCGATCATCGCAACACCGCACAACGGCTCGTTCGGCAGTTGTC